ATTTTTATATATTTTTTCAATCTTATAAGGCCTTTTTCCCTGCGAAAATTTATTTTTTTTTAGAAAAAAAAATCATTTACATTTCACAGCATATAATAATATATAAAAAAATCTAAATAGTTTCATATTTCAATAATTTTAAAATTTTGACCCCTCTTGCATTTATGCATAAATGAACAGTTTTACCTTTTCGAAAACTGCCATCCCGTCTAGGTAAAAAAAATTTTATTCAAATTTTTTTATTTTGGAAGTTCATTTTTACATATAGTGGCACCATTAAAATCATCCGCCGAATTCAAAATCAAAAATTTGAAAAGTATGATGCCCAGGCCCCACAAATTAGGGGCCCCCAAATATTTTAGAGGAGCTTTTTTTTTATTTTTTTAATTTTAGGCTTTTCCACATAAAACAGGCCTCCAAAAAAACAAAACACCCGAGCCGTAGGATGTCTGAATCCGTCGCTGGTGGCCAGTGATGCGGTTTTACCAAAATACAACTATTTTACCTAAATAATATTTTGAAAACACTCTAAAACTCTATTAAAAAATAAAATAACATCTTTCAAATCTATATACATTAAAAACTTAACAGAATTTATTTCTTTGTTTTTAACACGTAAGCCACTTTTAACCCAGGTAGCAACTGTCTATGTTGAGAACTAATATACCATCTCTTGCGCCTGGCCTATCTATGGTCATGGATGCAAATGTCACTTGTTTTACAGCATGCTCTGTACTTTGGGTAAAAATTTTAACTGAAGAAGTTATTAAAGGTGTCAATCTTAGCAATTACAAGTTACCTTTTGTGAGAAAACAAGTTAAAACAGGTTCTTGTACTACATTATTTTTATGTTTAACTATCTCTTGCTGCAAAGTTCTTTAGGTATTTTTCTTGGTCTGATTCTGGTATCTCCAACAATATCGTTGCCTTGTTGTATCAAAATATGGTAAACTGCAAAGTTTACCATATTTTGTTCTTATTTTGTTCATATTTTTTGTTCTGCATTATTACTAGATAATAAAGACATTCATATACTTTGCATACCAAGCTCCTAGCTGGGCATAGGGTGTCATTCTTTCTTTTACCCTATCAGGTTGATTTCTGAAAATTCTCAATTGAAACAGAATGTGGAAGCATCTTTAAATTTGTTTTTTATTATGTTAAAAAAAGTTTAAAGTAATTTGTAAACAGAATAAGATAAGTAGCTCTAGATTTTTTAAGTTTTACATAGCTTATAATATTGTTTTTGATGCGTTGACATCTTTTTTCGTATTGTTTCTGAAATGTTAACAAAGCTCTCTCCATCTGGACAAGTTTTAAATTGAAGATTATACTCCATTTTATAAATATCAGAATATTTTCCCGTAGGATTTACAAATCCAGTACTAAATGATGTTGGTCCATTAATTCCTTTTATTAGGTGACACGAAAATAACTTGTTTAATCTATAAGTGTTACACATCATTTAGTAAGATTATATTTTTGCTAAGAAAAACAAACAACTTAAGGAAGCTTTGTAGCTGGTTTGTCCGAATGAATATGTGCATTCAGATAGATATCAAACACAAAGTTCTATAGCCACAGTAATGTGATTCTCTTGATAATAATAGAATTTAACTGTCCCTTCAAATTATTAGCATGTATTATCTGCATCTCAGACTTTCAACCTGTCTTATATCTTTGACTTTATATCATGAGCTCCATAGTTAAAATTCGTTTAGTAAAAATACAGCTGCAATTTATGTGTGCTATAATCGTACTATTTTTGGGGGATACCCAAACAGATTATGCTCATAAAAATATTGTATGAGGACTTGTTATGAGGTCTATTAGTTTAAAACTCTGGTATTAGTTCTTTTACTTTAGCTTCAGTTCTTCTTCATGTGATGTTTTAAATTGTTTTTCCCAAAAAGTTTTTATTCTATAATAAAGTGATTTCTCCCCAAAAATAACTGGTTGTTGAAACCTAACATTTTCATTTCTCCATTGAGCAAGAACAAATGAAATAAAATTGATTTTTGTTAGAACATTTATTTTGGTATAGACTGCATGTTATGCTTTTTTGCTCTTGTTGTGAAATTATATAATATTTACTCTGTTTGTAAGCAACTAATTAGGAATAAAATCCTTTCCAAGTCCACTAAATCTAGAAATTTCTAGTGAAGGATGAATATCAAGGTTTCAACATTAATGAATAATTCAATTAAATAACTAATTGTGAATATAATAATAGTATCTAAATCACATTTTTATACGGCAGAGAGACAAGTCGAAGTCTCTTTTAAAATTAATTTGCCACTGCGCTTATAATGAGTCTAAACAAAAACTGATTAAATCTACTTTAATAGAAATTAATTTTATTTCATTTTAATAATGTCTAAATGTGAAAATTTTGGTATCAATACATTTTCTAATCAAATAGTAGTCAATAGCAAACCTACATTGAAATTTAATTTTACATAAGAGTAAACCTTTTCTTAAGTTTGATTTTTATTTTTTGAAATAAATATGAAATTCACTATACGCTAATAGTCACATGCTTGGCCTAGACATTTACATTCATAAGAATTCACTAGTTTTTTGGGAAACTAGGTTTGAATCCGCAGATTATTTTTTTGGGCTTTCATTTAGCACGACTCCACTGTCTCACCTTTCTTTTTGTTTTATATCGGTCTTCTTCATCTCAGGACTGCACTTTTTGATGTCATTGCTGATCAAATTGATCAAGCTCTTTCTCTTTATCCTTCAGCCAATATTGTTGTACTTTGACTTTAATGCTAATCACACTGAATAGCTCGGCTCTAGTGTAAGTGACTCTTCAGGCATTAAGGCCAACAATTTTTGCCTTTCTCAATCTCTAACACAAATAGTCAACTTTCCGGATAATCTGAATCATTTATCTTCTCTACTTGACTTATGTCTTGTTTCTGATTCTTGTCAATGCTCAGTTTCTCCACATTCACACTTAGGTTCTTCTGATAATGGTTTGATCTCTTTAAAGCTGTTATTTTATAAACCATTGTAACATGGTTTTGTCTAACACCAAAACTCGCTATTCCCAGGTCACAAAATATAGTATTTTTTCTCAGAAATTAGGCTCTCGAGACTTCTATAATAGGGGCAAATCTGTTATTCCACCTCTCTTGCACAGTTCAGATTTTGTTACCTCACTTAAAGACAAAGCTGAATTATTCGCTAAGAACTTTTTATTTATCTCATTTCTTGATTCGACCAATCACATTCTACCTGATATAACCATCAAACAGGTTAATCCATCGCTTGACATTCTTATCACCCCAGCTTCTGTATCAAAAGTGATTTCTTGCTTAAACTTCTTCAGCCTGTGGTCCAGACGATATACCTGTCATAGTCTTGCAGAAGTGTTGTTTGGAGCTGTCGTTTTACTTTCGTCTATACTTTCTATATTTACTGTCGTCTATACTTTCAAAACTATTTAACAAATGTTTATAGAAGTCATTTTTTGCCGCCCTGCTGGAAAGCTGTGTCTGTGTTTCCTATTTTTTAAAATTTTAGATAGCGATCCGACTTGTCTATCTATCATCCCATCAGTCTTCTTACTAGCACAAGCAAGGTTTTTGAGTCTTTAATTAACACACAATTAATCTCTCATCTTGAATCTAATAATTTACTTTCTGAACTGAAATATGGATTTCGATCTTCTCATTCTACTGCTTAATTATTAACGATAATAACTGATAGGTTTTATCGTGTGTTCGATAATTGTGGAGAGGCTAAGGCCATTGCTCTTGACATTTCTAAAGCCTTTGATAAAGTTTGGCATTCGGGTCTTTTTCTTAAGCTTTTGTCTTACAGTTTATCAGGTAATGTCTTAAAGATTATTGAATTCTTCCTTACTAATCGTATTATAAAAGTTATACTTTGTGGACAGCATTCTTCTCATTTCCGGTAACTTCAGGAATTCCTCAAGGTTCCATTTTTGGTCCTATACTTTTTCTAATATACATTAATGATCTCCCTGAAACTCCCACATCTTAGGTGGCATTGTTGGCTGATGACACTAATATTTATTCTTGTCTTGATAAAAACCAACACTCTCTGATTGCTTGGAGAGGTATCCAAGCTTAAAATAGATCTGCTACAGCAGATCTATTTTAAGCTACTTCTGCTACAGCATGGGGTTCTCAGTGGCTGGTGAACTTGAACTCAGATAAAACTAAATATTTTTCAGCCAATTGTTATCGCAATAACTTTTATCTTCCTAAATTTATGAACGGTAATATAATTGATGAGTCATCTTCCCATCATCTTTTAGGATTAACTATTACTTCTGATTTTATATCAAATTGATATCAAAATTAGCATCTTCTAACCTTGCATCTTTTTATCGTGCTTGCCACTTTTAGACTCCTATTGCCATTCTTTATTTCTATAAATAATTTATCCGTCCTTCTACGGAATACTGTTGAAATATCTGGGAAGGATCTTCCGAAGATGCTCTTTCTCTTTTAGACAAGGTGCAAAACTTAGTTGGACCTGCTCTTGCAGCCAACCTCCAACCATTATCATATGATGTTGCTTCAATCATATTGTGGTGATGTTGCTTCTCTTAATTTCTTCTACAAGTACTAAAATGGGCTCTTACGCCATCTGTTAAAATTCATTGTCGTGTTATTAGTCATTCAATTAAGTCTCATCCTTTTACTTTTTCCTAAGTGTTTCAAAGATTCTTATTTATCTACTTTTTTTCTTCGAGTATCAGTTTTACATTTAATTCACTTCCTTTATCTTGTTTTCCTGATTCTTATAATTTTAAACTTTTCTTTTTTTTTTTGTCTGTTAATCGTTATCTTGCTCTATAATCTTTATCTTTTTTTTCCCAGTAATTTCTAACATAAATAGTGCTTCCTTGTTGCAAGTGAAGATAAAAAAAATTAATAATTTGCGATATTTTAAAAATAAAAATATTAAAAATAAAATGTTACTTAAATATTCAACTTTACAGATTTTTATTTTTACAGGTGGATATGCAAACATTATGGAGAAGTAATGCCCAGTGTCTTAAAGAGAGGCAAAGGGTTACGAGAAAATAGCGTGCTAGCAAGTGGTTGTAAAATGGCTATTTATGTAGCCTATAAAAAAGAAATAAGGAGTTATTATATTAAGAAAAAAAATTTAGTTCATAATCATCCACATGGGCCTGAGCAGTTCGGTATGTATAGATCAGAACATCAACCAAAAGGTGTTCTCGAGCAGCAGACAATGCTTCTGCTATCTCATGGTGCTAATCCTACACTTATAACAGACAATTTAAACAGGCATGGTTTAAAGACTAGACCTTGTGATATATATATAACATAAAGCAAAGGATGAAATTTAAAGGTTTTTGTTATGGTTGAAACTTCAATTTTTAATTGTATGACTTTTCTAAAAGGTTAATTATCTTTTCTAAAAAGTTATTTTTTTCCCTATAAAATAAACAGGTCCTGCACTCGATGAAGTTATAAAGGTTCTTGAATTACCAAACGTCATATCCCATATTGATGCCAATCTTGATAGAAAAGTAGAGTGTATAACGTGGACAACTACTGAACAAATAAATTTGTTGAAAAAGTATCCTGAGTGTATCATGCTTGATGGTACCTATTAGGTTTGTCTTAACATTGGCTAAGTGTGTGGCGTAATATTTTTTTTAAGGGTATAACTTCTATTTAAAAAAATAGGTATTTATAAAAATAATGAATTGCTATTAATAAATTTCCTAATAATATCCAGATTAACAATTTTTCTATGCCATTATACACAATGGCTGTTGTGGATCAAAATGGCATGGGGCGACCTGTAGTGCAGTCTTTAGTTTATCGTGAAGACCAGTCACATCTACAGCTGCTAATGACACATGCTAAGGAATGGGCTGGGATTGAAACTTTTCAAAAGTCGATATTCATGGTTGATAAAGCTCAAGCAGAAATATCTGGACTACAGTCTGTTTTTCCAGGAAATAAAATATTTCTCTGTCGCTTTCATGACGCTAAAGCTTTTATTTATCAAATTAAAAAGGGTAGACTTACTGCTGACGATCAGGAATTATTATTCAAGGTTTGCAATTATAATACTATTTTTTAGTTATTTTTATTGTTTATCTTACTAACAATTGGAAAATTTATGAATAAAACTATTGTAAAAATGCAACTATGCTCTCACTTAACTATTTAAATGTTTCATTAGGCTACTCAGAAATTAATGTACGGTAATCAGGCAACATGTGCTGAAGCTTTGTTAAATATTGAAAAAAATTTCCCTACGTTCTATGTGTATCTTCAAGAAAACTGGCTGACCATACCAGAAATGTTTATGGGTCACTATAGAAAAGGTCTGATGCATTTAGACAATCATACTAATAACAGGCTTGAAAGGTGCTTATTTTACGATGACTTCTTTATTTTTAATAGAAAAGTCTTGTAATGGAAAAAGTTTTAGATCGAATTAGTTATTGTAAAATAATTCATAAATTTTTTTATGAATTATTTTACAATAATTTTATAATAATTAATTATTGTTCTGATTAGATATCATAGAACACTTAAAGATGTTGGCCTTTTGTCACGCATGTCACTGGGAAATCTTATAGATAAAATTCTTAAGGTTAATAGAGTGCAAATAGAAAAATCTAAACATGCAGACTTTGACCAACAACTAAAAATTATTAATAAACTTCCAGAGCCACTAAAGTTTTATTCACGTCATGTTTCCTCTTTTATTCTTCGTCATCTCATGGAACAATATGATAAAATTGTCAAGTCTGATTTTAGTTTATATGAGGTTAATAATTTTTATTAAATGTACTCCATTTTTTATTATTTTTTGTTTTCCAATAAGATTTGCTAGTCAATCATTACTTATTTTATGGTGTTTTAGGACAGAGATTCATTACAAATAATCGATCGGCAATCAACTTTTTATAACATAATAGACTGGGTTTGCATCTGTGATGCTGCATCAGGGTTTGGCGTGCCGTGTGCACATGTTCTTTTTGCTCTAAGAACGAAGAATGTAACTGTTAATGATCTACAGTTGATTCATAAAAGGTGACCTTGGGTTTTCTACTAATTAATAATAATAAAGGTTCGTAATATTATATTACTTCATGACCTTATTTAAATTTCAATCCACTTATGTTATAGATTGCTAAATTAAAATTTATTTGAATAATAATCAATTTACAACTTAGTAGTCAAAACATGTATTGTAATGTTGCACGCAATTTATTACTTATTAAATGTTCTGAGTCATTGTTTATTCTAGAAAAAGTTACTTTAAAAAGCTACCATGCCATTCAAGTAATCTAAAAAGCAAAACAAATGATGTATCGATGATCCCCTATTTGCATTTTTTAATGCTAAATTGATTTTCTGTTATAGTTCAATAAATGAAATAATTACTTTTATTTAATTGGCTAGAAGAATTCTTTTTTGTGTAGACTGAAATAAAAATTTTAGATACATTATTTAACCTACTTTACACTAGGATAACAGAAATTATTTACATTGACATAAACTTATTTAGGTGGATTTTATGCAATACTGTAGCAAACCAGGTAAGTTTTGACCAAGCGCCATCACATATTACCTCAAATATAGAATTACTACCTCTCTGTTGTGCCACTCCCAAACAAAGATTTACTACAGCAATGAGTTACCTTCAACCAATAGCCTCTTTGCTCGCTGAAATGCCACCCAAAAAATTTTACCTTGCAATAACCTGGTTAGAATCTATTAATCAACAATGCATTTCTGGTGAATGGGAACTGATGGTATGTCAATGGATTTTAGATGCTTTCAGTTTTCAAATCATTAAAGAACTGCATTAGAAAAATGTTTTGTTTATTTTAGTTTCAAAGTGATCCTTGTCTAGAAGTTTTTACACCTGCAGAAGATCACGGTGATCCTTGTCTAGGAGGTTTTACATCTACAGTAGATCAAAGTGATCCTTGTCTAGAAGATTTTACATCTACAAAAGATCTATCATCAAAAGAAATTTTAGAAGTTAAATCACCATCAAGTGCAGATCCTATGATTACCCCACTTGAATGCATAAATAAAGAAATATGTGAAGTAGTCTCTCAAGAGCCACATATAAATTTAGTTTTAAGGCAACCCCAGCGGAAGCCACCTGGTCGTGTAGGTAAAAACAAACAGAGACTTTTTGACAAAGCTATAAAAGTGTTTGAAAAATTAGGTAGTTTCAAAAAAGATATCCGTCTCTGTTGGTTTGTAGAAAGAACAGTTGCCCTGCAGGTTTTACATGAGAGTGCTATAATTACCACCTGCCAGTTTTTAAAGCAGTTATCGAATAAGATTGCTGACCCTAGAACAAGTCTTGATGACATTAAGCAATATTTTGTAGAGGATGCATGGGCTGAAGTCATCAAACGGTGTGAAGATGTGAGGATTGAAAAATGGCTGTGTCAAGTATGCGGGCAGTTTAAGGCAGCTGGAAAAAACCAAAAATGGCTTCAGTGTGATCATTGTTTAGACTGGTCGCATTATGTTTGTCTACAAATATCTTGCAAACCTAAAGGATATTGGTTCTGTGCTCAATGTAAAGTAAGGAAATAGTGGAATTTAGGTTCATATCCTAATATAAAATATTTTTAAAAGTTTTTAATATCTATTTATTTAGCGACATAAATAAATATTAAAATGTTTATTAATTAATATTTATAGAAACGGTTAGTATATTATAATATTTATAAAGAGCATACTCCATATTTATTTTTATTTATTTAATATATTATAATATAAATTAATATATTATAAAAAACATTTAAAATAGCTTTTAATTGGCAATTAGCTTTGTGTTTCTTTAGCTAGTGTCCCTTTTTTGCAAAATTCTTGAACCTGATAGTTAAAAATACTTTTTTTGAAATAGCCCTTTATACTACTTTTGAAATAGCCCATGCTACTTTCTAGCGTTTCTTAGTTTAGTCTTTTTTAAGCTTACACTTGAAAATTGTTATATGTAGAAATGATTTTTGCTAATCTCTAAACATTTTTTATTGCAAGCTACATTTTATTGTTTTTAATATTTGTTATTGCTTAGCTTTGAAAAAATTAAATTTCATTATTATTTTTGTTTCTTTGGAAATCATTATTTTAAATCAGATTTTGGAATTTTCAAATTGCTGAATTTTGTAGATTTTTGATTTTTAATTACAAGTTAGTAATTCTAGGCTAGAATTAGAGGTATTTGAAGAAAATATCAGCTTTTTTAATTAGATATTTTTCTGCTATTTGGTAGAGCATCAGGTTTTGGCGGAAAGTGAGAGTTGCAGCTCATGGGTCATTATTTGAGCTTTGATTAGTCATGATACATTTTTTAAACATTATGTTATGCATTGTATGATGTATTATAATATAATGTATCATATAATCTATAATCTAATGTATCATAGTTTATATTTAAGATAAAAAAATGACAAAAATGCTTCCTGCATTAAAATAAAGTTAGAAAAAAAGTGTTAGACATGTTGTTAGGCATTTTTCTTTTTTAATTTGTTTCAGAAATTTTATAAAGATACTTTCAGTGCTTAACTTTGATAACGTTCATTTGTTTTTCATATTTTTGTTAATTTTTATTTATTAGTTTACTTTGAAAATACATCATAAAAATAAGTGTAACTATTATTAAGTGAAATAATGTGTAACTATTATTTTTAGCAATGTTTCAAAGATTATTATTTTTATCAATGTTTTTAAGTCTAACAAAAGGTTAACCTGTTTCTCTGGTAAGACAGGAAGAGTTTTTTATAGTCATTATAGTTGTATAATATATTATAATCAAGGAATGAAATAGAGGAAAAGTTATTTGCATATAATTGATTCTTGGGAGTTATAAGATGAGACCCTTGAGGTAGAGCTGAAGAATTAGATTATCCTTTGTTGTTGACACTGTTAAAGTAAGTACAGTACCTGTTTGTTTTCATAAAAGTTTTGTTGTTGTTGATAATAATTTTTTGAATATGACTTTTTAAGGGAAGTTCATTTGTATTTTATCTTTATGTTCGCCTTTTTTCATTTAAACACTGTTGTGGAAGGTAATTTTTGTAAGTTATGGAATTTATGCATAGTTATTTGATTTTGTGCTGTTTCATTTGCTTAATTCGTTTTAGATTAGTTGAAGAGAGATTCAGACACGTAGGCTTTACTCCATTTTATTTAATCTCTTTGTTTACATCTTTACAAAATATTTTACTTTAATTAATTGTAAAATCAACCATTGTTTTTAATTTAGTTATGAATGAGTCTATGAATTAGTCTGATAGCGAACAAAAAGTTGCATTCTTTATCACAACTTTAAGATGTACAAGACTCAAAGTTTCTTATATCTTTATTGTTCCCAATATTCAACATTGCATTATGTTGAAAATATTGGAAACCATAAAAATCTATGAATTGAAAACTACAAACTAATTAGAAAAACAGAAGTTATATCATCTTGAATTTAAACTGATTACTTAAAACCACACGATGTTTTTCAATAACCCAAACAACGACTGCTACATCAGCAGCAGCAGCAGTATCAAAAAAAGCAGGTAAATTGATTTTGTAGTTTTTATACATGGATTATTTTTTTTCGGATGTTCCCGGCATTCCGGGTATTTTTCAAGACTTTTTGTTTTCCGGATATCCTCAATTATTTCAATGCATACAAGTTTAAGTATGCATTTGTGTAAATGTTTTGAGTTTTTTAGTCATCACTCATACAAAAAAATGATAAAATTAACTAAGCTGAAGGCAAAAATTAAGAGAAAAATATGAGAAAAAATATTATGCATATTGTATGCAAAGAAATTTCAGGATTTTTAAATTATGACCTGGACGATCTATGTTTTATAAGTGGTGTCTTCTCCCTTTTTGTATGCATAAAAAAAGGAAAAACTTTTTAACTTTTTTCAAGACTTAATTTTGAAACACTTTCTGTTTTTCTGTAATGAGGGTTTATTGTTAAAAAAAGCATTAATGGAACTGTAGCTGACACCGTTTTTGTGGTAGCTATTTATGTTATATGTTTATATATGTTATATGTTTGCTAAAACTTATAATACTTATTTATCCACTATTTATATTGTATCAATCATATATATTTCTGAACAAGGTCTTACAGTCAAGGATACTTACAATTATTTTAAAACTAATATAAAGTAAAAACCTAACGATAATCATATTAAATAATATTAGTGATACAAATAAAAATTATAAAGATAATACTTATAAATTATCAACACCAATAGCAACAAAAATGGTTTAAATTATAATAAAAATAAATCAATATTTTAAAAGAATATTATATACATAAACAGGGAAAAAAAAATAACAATGGTTAATTAATATTTACAACATCTATAATCATAAAATATTATTTGACCACAAACAAATATTAACTTTATTAAATGATTATAATTATTATAAGTTAAATATCTGATGCTATGTGTTATTATTTGTAAGTAATCAATGTGTTGTCGTGTTTTAGTGTTGCTAGATAGCTTGACTTAATTTCCCGCTGTTGTCTATCTTTTAAAACGACTATTACTTGTTTCATTACTGGAACTCACAACTTCTAATTTATCACTAAAAGATTTTTCTTAGTAATTGGTTTAAAGCTGAATTTGATTTTTATCTTAAGACCGAAGAAGTTGCAAAACCTGTCATTACTGCGAACTGGCATAGGCGCAAATCAGTATAAGTGCACCATAAGAACTTATAGACATCAGCTTAAGTGCGAACTGGTATAAGTGCGATGCAGTTGCATAGAATGGCATAAGTGCAAGTGGATTAAGTGCGCCAAAAATATTGCAAACACTGCCATGAGTGTGCATCATCATAAGTGCGAACTTATAAATAAAATTTTATTAATAAGTATTTAATGGACTCCTGCAACAAAATTAATATATATACGGTAAAAAAATATATATGACAATTTATTTTCTGAGATATATTCCTTAATTACTTCCACTCTATTAACAACTCCTCGCCTGGGTTTTTTATGTTACTTAGCTAATACATTTCAATGAGCATTATGCTTTTCCCTTTCAAAATAACAACATTTTTATTATTTTAACAGTTTCCTCGTGAGTTTTCACTGTACGTAACTTTTTAAACTAATTTTCACTGTACTGTAACTTTTTAAACTAATTTTCACTGTAACTTAAAAGCTTTTCTGATAAATACGGTGAATTTTCACTGTACAGTGAATTTTCACTGTATTTAGCGAAAAACGTTTCCTTAGGTACAGTGAATTTTCACTGTATTTAGCGAAAACGCTTATTTAGGTACAGTGAATTTTCACTGTATTTAGCGAATAGCGCTTTCTTATGTACACTGTATTTAGCGAAAAACGCTACCTTAAGTACAGTGAACTTTCACTGTATTTAACACCAAGCAATTAAATTGGTACTTTTAATAGCGTAAACCTTATTCATATCCCGCAAACCATAATTTACATTAGCAAGTTTTAATTAAATAATTTTCTCATATCCTGCAAAGTAGATTTTACATTAGCTGTTTTTATAAAACAATTTTTGCAATCTCTTCAAAACATAGTTTTAAAATAAACTTTTTCCTAATTGTATTATCTAACAAAATATAACAAAAATTTAAAGATCGGCAATTCGTGTTTAGCAGGTGTAAGACGTCATAGTACTAATATTTATATTCATTTTTTTTACCCGTCACTTGCAGCACTTGACAGGGTTTAAACCCCCCCCCCCTGATACTGGGGATCAATCTTGTGCTGTGCGTAACCAGCCATAAAAAAAAGGGCAGCATTCTCCTGATCATTAACAGATTCGTTGTCTGCATTAATTAAACATTCATCTAAATAAATAATACCCTCTTCCACTAGATCCATTGTGCAATAATCTGAACGTATGCGTGAGCAATACGCCAGCTTCATGCAAAGAAACAGGTTTGTTGAATAATTTTAACCGCTAAAGGAGCAAACTGTTCAATACTTGTTCTGCTGAGATAAAATAATTTACAAAAAGATAAGTCCAAATAAATTGAGTTAAACCTAGTATAAATTATAGTTAAAACCGCAATTGTCAAATAAAAGCATATTGAAACTTATGTGTATAAAATATTAAACTTATGTGTATTAAAAAAGAATACTTTTAAATGAATAAATGAGATAATTGTTTTAATAATTTTACCTCCAGATTAGAAAAATACCAGGAAGAACATACCGGTGATCTTTTGAAAGCAGTTTTTTATTAATTCTACCAATCTTTGTAGGGTGTTAACTAGAGCATGTTTTGTTTCTGGTGTAAAAGTATTATGACACTTTAATCCCTTTCCCTCTGACATCTTAGAAGTTGTATCAACAAATGCTAAAAAATTTTTTAATAAAAGGTCATCGAGTATCTGCAAAGAAGACCTATTGATATCATTAAGTAAAACATTGCAACTTTTCCTCTTTACATTCAGCAGTTTCCATAGTGAAACAATTGGTGCCAAAAAACAAGCAGTGTTCTCAAAATTAGCTAATCTCAATGCTGCAACAGTTTTTTCATTAAATACAGCAATCATGTTTGCAACATTTTGTCTATCAATCAAACTAGGGTACACTGACTTGCAGGAAAGCTAGCAACACACAATTTCTGTCTGTTATATAATTGAACAATGTGAGACCAATCATCAGAGAGAAGTTGATTATTAACTTTTAAAATAATTCTTTGTGTTTTTTCCGTAAACTAATTGTTTCTTATACTTTTAAACAAGTGAACTGGGTCGCGTGTAGCATAATAACTGGTTTTTCTTTTTCTATAACACCTTGTCATAGAAAATTCTTTTTAACAACAAAACTTTGTTAAACACTTCAATTTGTGGGATGGTTATCTGATAAGAGACACAATAATTCTCCTCCTGATCAAATCCTGAAGAAAGTGTACTGACAGACAAAGAAATGCACTGACAGTTTGAATATTAGTATAATTCTACAAACAAAAAAAGGTTTACCAAGCAAAGGTTTAATCATAAAGACTAATAATGTTTTTGCAATTTTAGTGAGATTGTCCTCACTATATCCAATGAGGTTTCCTCCTTTGAAACTAACACTTGGTTTAATATACATCTCATCAAAGAGAAGGCAGCAACGCTTTCCAGAACTATTGAAATTTTTAAAAATAACATTGATTGTATCATTGCAATCTTTTTCATTTCAAAGTTCTTTAACTCCTCCTAAATTTGAAATAAGAGTCAGACTCTCATTTCAAAGACTCTGAATCTTTGGACTGGGCAAGCAAAGCAGATTTTTTAAATGTCAAAAACAACATCTGGAGGGCAAATACAGTTCAAGTGAACGACATATACATTAAGTAGAAAAGCGACGTCCATTTGGAGAATAAGTGGTGAGGCGTAGTTGTTCAATGAGGAAAGAAATTTCTTCAGAAGCGCCATTGTATGTATTTTTAATTTAACTAATCAAACTTAATACCTCATCTTTTATTTCAGGACTAGTACAAACTCTTTCAACAATAGCTTCAAGCTGTGCCCACTGAGTAAGACAATGAGCAGTTAACTTCTGTATGGCTACAATAAATGTTAACTTGACGTGAATGACAATTATTTCAACAGAAACTATTGTTTCAGGCAGATATGATTGAGAAACAATATCAAACAATATGACTTTTGAATTTTCAATGAAGGCAAATTGTTGAGGATATCTGAAATAGATTTAATAACAAGTAAACTTTTAATCAAAATAAAAAAAACATCATAAAACAAAGAAAAAATCATTAATGTTACCTTTCTTTTATTTCAGACAGCATTATTTCAACATCATAAAATCTAATTAAATCAATTTGATTAAAATCTTCCATTTCATCAGGTATTGCATTTTTGTGATGTTAAAGAAATTTTATTTATATTTGTAGATCTTGGTTGTGTTGAGGCTGTTTGGCACACCATTGAAAATGTGCATCCAGGAAAAATTGATGGGGATCAATAAGAACCTAAAAAAAGTTATTAATAAAATTATTCATTGTAAAATTTATCAATAAAAACAACTTTAGGAATGCTTACATCCAACTTTGATCGAGGAGGCTTGTGCATTTTGCTGCCTGGTAGCCAGTGTTTTTCAGACATACCCATATTTGAAAATAATTTTCCAAACGCAATTGGAATGGATGGCAACCAATATTGTAACTTTTGTGAGTCACTTGTAATTTGGAAGTATGAAACTTTTCTTTTAAAATTGATGGTAAATAATTTGTTGTACGATTAACTATTAAACATTTTTTTGGCATGATTATAACTAATAATAGTAACACCTTTATTATAAATATTACATAACATTTTGTAACATTTAATAGATTCATAACTTAAAATAAATTACTTAAATTATTAACTACTAAGTGCAATTTTTTAATTTTACTACTTTAAAAAATCAAAAAACTCCAGATTTTTTAATAAAACTAGCAACAAAAAAAATTAAACTTTTACAGATTTTTAATTTCTAAGCATTTCTAAGAGATTTTCTTGTTAAACACTTAAAACCCTACTAAAAATCTTCATGCATATACATACATGTAACTTTGCATTAACTTCATTAACTTTTTTTTTTGACTTATGCCATGCTGGTTCTTGCTTATGAGCTATATAATGATTGCTCAATTAAAACTTCATTAACTTTTTTTTTTGACTTATGCCATGCTGGTTCTTGCTTATGAGCTATATAATGATTGCTCAATTAAAACTTCATTAACTTTTTTTTTTGACTTATGCCATGCTGGTTCTTGCTTATGAGCTATATAATGATTGCTCAATTAAAACTTCATTAACTTTTTTTTTTGACTTATGCCATGCTGGTTCTTGCTTATGAGCTATATAATGATTGCTCAATTAAAACTTCATTAACTTTTTTTTTTGACTTATGCCATGCTGGTTCTTGCTTATGAGCTATATAATGATTGCTCAATTAAAACTTCATTAACTTTTTTTTTTGACTTATGCCATGCTGGTTCTTGCTTATGAGCTATATAATGATTGCTCAATTAAAACTTCATTAACTTTTTTTTTTGACTTATGCCATGCTGGTTCTTGCTTATGAGCTATATAATGATTGCTCAATTAAAACTTTTATATACTTTTATAGCTCAATTGATACTTTTAACTAATTTTTACTTTTTCTAATAATAATTTAAAAACTGAAAGATATTTATATTTACAAGAAATCATTATGTATTTGTTAAAACTAGCTGCAGGGGAGAGTGGGAAGAAGTGGGACATAAAAAATTTTTTCAGAATATTTTTAATACCTTCTTTATTTAATGTATAAATTAAAACAACTAAGTTTTAACATTTAAAGCATCATCTCGGACACTGATTCCATCCCCAAAGATTGAAAGCAGGTTTTAATAAAATATATATTTAATTTGAGAGGAATTGTGCCATTGTGATAAAGTGGGACAGCATGGCTTGATTTAAAATTAAATTTTTTGAATACAAAAATTTTAATAGCGAGAAATTTTTTTTTTAAATCTCTCTCCCTAAAAAACATTAGATGCCACTTTTTTTTCTAATTTATTACTTCTTTCTATTGATCTAGCCTTTTATTAAAAATAATTAAGTTTTTCATTATAAGAGTTTCTTAAGTTGATGTTTTTTTTTTTATTTGCCTCATTCAAATTGTTTTGCAATAAAAATTTGGTATAATAGCCGATATTTTTTTTTTTTTTTTTTTTTTTTTGTGCCGTTTCATATATTTACAATAAAGACATATTACATTTATACAAATTGGCCGGAGTAAGAAGAAGACAATGACTGTCTTATCACCGAGCCCCGTTTATAAATTGTCCGTGTTTATAAACAAATATCAATAAAATATACAAAAAAGCCTTAAAGAGTAATAACTTTTGTCAAATAATAAAATGACAATTATATTAAAAATTTAAAAATAAAGAAAGTTTTGTATACTAATACAAATATATTTATATACATATAAAAAAATATATTTAGTGCTAATGGAAGCGTTTTTTCTACTTTAAAATTACCTTTTAGAAAAAATATTTAAAGTCTATTGAATTAAAATCTAATTGAGGTAAGATTCTTTTAGAAACTGTTTTAAATTTTTCTAAAGAGTAGTGTTCTTTATTTAAGTTTTTAATAAAAATTTTCCATAAAAAGGGTCCTCGATATTGAATTCGATAAGAACTTATTTTTAAATTAATTCTCGGAACAATAAAGTTATCCTCTGAAAACTTTGTTGGATACTTATGAGATATTTCGCTAAAATAAGATTGAAATATAAGCGGAGACATTCCATGTTTCATTTTAAACATGAAAAGTAATGCTTGGTAAATGTTTAGTTTATATAGCCTGTATAGTTTAAAGCCTTGAGACGATTTAATAGCGGTTCGCAATAAACAGTTCTGTAATATATTATATTACAGAACTGATATATATTTCTGTAAGTTTAAATAAATTCTTAAATTTTGTTTTGGGTAAAAAAAATTTTTGAGCAGAATTAGAAAAATTTATTTTATTTATGATTTTTTATAATTTAAATTTTAATTACTGGTTTAATGTTTGCGATACGATGTTTCTACTTTTGAAAATATTTTCAAGGAACAAAAAATAATGACGGTTTTGCAAAAAATATTTAAAAGGTTTACAATTTAAATAAAACTTTTTCCCTCGCTTAAACTATCATCATATCACTTGTACTTACACTATCTGATATTGTTATTGTAGGTTAAACTATGTTTGACTTTCAGGAATCTTATAATTATTGTCGGCGAGCATTAAAATTCTTTTATATTTAAAGTTTGTTTTTTTTTTAAGTTTCAATTTCAATTTCAATAATGTTGTTCTCTTATCTCTTATTTTTTAAATAAAAGATAAGAGAACAACATTATTTATGCTAATCTAAAGCAGCGCTCGAAATAATTATATAGAGGTTGCCAATCAACACTGATCAGCTGAAATGATAAGAATTGAAAAGTAGACGATTAAATAATTTTCCGGACGATCAAATTTTTTGTTATCTTGCATCAGATTTTTATAAGTGTAGCAATTTTTGCGCCACACTTTTTATGTTTGTGCTTGATAGCACTGCTTATACAGCAGAATTCCCACTTAGTTTAAAATTTCAGAACAATAAAGTTATAAAGGCACTTTATTAATTTTTTTTATACTTAAGCCGGACAATTGTCCGGCTTAAGTATAAAATTTTTTTTTGATAAGTTGTCCGACTTATCCTAACTTATCGTAAAAATTAACAAATAAGTTGATCAAGTCAACTTTTGTTAAGTTAATCAAGTCAAGTTCAGCAATGCCATGGTACGTGTATCTATTGATGGAGGTCAAGCTCAAGATTTTTTAAAGTAATTGTAAATGTCTTTGACAATACAAATGTGATACACATTGAAAGTAGAGTTAAGAAATGTTTAATACTTGCTATTGTTGAAGGTATTTCTGAAGACCATGGAAATCTGCAGAAAATCTTGAGTAGATTAAATCTAGATGATGTTACGTATCACCTTGCATTTGATTTAAAATGTTCTAACAGCATTTTCGGAATATCTTTTTATTCTGGTAAATATGCCTGCTTATGGTGTGAAGGTAAATGTACTCTAGAAAGTGGTATTCCAAGAGCATAAGGTTCTCTTGATCATTGGTACAAGTTATTTGTTGAAAATGGGTTTGCAGATAAAAATTGGTTAGCAGATAAAAGATTTTAAAAATGCGATTAGTCTTCGTCTTGTTTATTTTGATAAAAATCCTGAAGTTGCAGTTAATTACTTAGCTCCATAATCAGAATTACATCTTCTTATGGGGATTGTGACTACTTGCTAGACTACTTTTAGATTATTGGCCTCTGCTTATCAATTGGCTCAAAGAGCATTATTTTTTAATTCGAGATTATCATGGGATAGGCTTTGATGACAATAATGCCACAAAACTTTATTTATTTATTTTTTTTCGAAAGTTAAAGAATACGCATTTGGGCAAGAATTAGGCAGTAATATTTCTTCAGTTATTGAAGAGTTCAAAATATCATATTTTGACCTACAGCGGAATGCAAAAATACATTTAAACACAGAGCTGAATGTTACATGGAAAGTGTATATAGTGGTTTGCAATATTCTTCCATTAGTAAAATATAATTATTGTTCTCTTGGATCTTATGCTTAACAGACTGGAGAGGCTGTTCACAGCGCCTTTAAACCAAGTTGGTCTTAATAAATGAAGGATTGGGCATATAGATTATGGTAAACGATTTAAATCTGCCACTGCCACTTTTTGCATAGATAAGATGTAAATATTTCAATATATAAGTAGATATGTTAATATTTTTATTGCATTCGTTGTTTTTTCTTTGTTATTTTTCCTTTGTATTATTACTATAAGGGATTCTGATATATTAGAAGTTGAAATTATTTTAAGTTTAAAGTTATAGATTACAATATAATTCTATAAAGAGAATAATAAAGAATATTGATTTTTAAAATAATAATAGAACGAATTACCTTTTTAGGGGGTAACTTTATCGTTTTAAGGGGGTAACAGGGTTGAAAATTATTTTTTTTTTGATACTTAAGTATCAAAAAAAGATCAGTAGATCAGAATTCTGATCTACTTTAGATTTATCCAATACAAAAAAATAACATATTTAAGCAGCATTATATAATCTTTATATAAAAAAATTAGAG